CCATCAATAAAACCCTAACAGACTAGAAAGATTTCTACTCTCTTTTTATTAATCATGAAAATATATTTACACTTGGAGAAGAAGAGCATTGTACAGAAGCATCAGTCCTCTCTGCTCATATGCACATTGCAAATCCCCTTCCATTTCATAGGAATTGAAGTCTAAAATGGAAGTCAGTTCACATGAATCTTCCTGTTGCAAGCAATTATTGTTACCAGAAATCTTCAAGGAAAATGAAAACAAAGCTCACAGGAAAATCAAAATGACAAGTTCAAAACAAAAGCCCATTAAAGCTTAAAGAAAGAAAATAGATCTATTTCCTTTACCAACTCCAACTTAATAAAACAGATTCTGACAAGCATAGTCCTATTATATATACAGCTGCCTGATTCCACATTGCTGATGGTTTTTTATGAAACGGTGTCAAGAAACTACCCTTTCAATAGTACTAAATAGGAAACGTCTCAAGTGTATTTACTTTAAAAATCAAATGCAAGCGAGCAGGACATGGGTTTAATTTCTTTTTTTTTTTTTTTTTTTTTTTTTTTGTGGTAAGATTCCTCTCTCATTTCTGGGCTGCAGCTGCCAGGTTGTTGCAGATTGTTTGACTTGTCCAGAGGACGCAGAATGTGAACAGAATCTCAGATTTTCAGGGCAGGGCAGAGAGGAGAGGTTTTCTGCTGCAGCTCAGCAGTAGGTGGTGGGGGTCAGATAGGCAAGTTTGCCTGTTCATGAAAACCGTGCAAATAAAAATCTTTCCCCACACTATAGGGAGAAAATGTTTCTGGAAAGAACTCCCTGCAACCACTGACTGCCTGTTCTCTGAGTTACTTGTTTTACCAACCCCAAGAGGTGCAAATCATCTCCTGGGATACATCAAACTGCTCATGTCCCATTAGGGTATGCAGATTCCTCGTGGGAGGCATTCAGCATCTCATGTGATTTGGCCCTTAAAGCACAGAGGCGAAAGAGTAATAATAATAATAAAAAAAAAGAATACAATGAAATCACTTGCATGATTCAGATGCATGAAATAAGGAATCCTCCTGAATGCGTACTGCAGAGGGTGAGCAGCTAGTGACGTGGAGCTCCTATGCAGAAAGGGAAAAAAAGTTCTATTTCCTATGTCAATCCCATGGCAAATATTTGCAATGGCTAAGCAAGCATACTTAATTGGCTACTCTTTTTGTAAGCAGAAGCCACAGAAGATGTTTATCTTCAAATCTGATTTCATACCTTTGCTGTCACTGAGGAAATTAAACATTCAGCAAGTCACTCTCTCCGTCAAATATGGAGACAGTTGGCAAATGAGGCCATAAAGCTAGAGATTAATTACTGGCTGTATGAATTGTTGCTGTTTTCCTCTATCAATTACGTCATGGTTAATCATGAAGTGAGCTCCTGAGAGTTTTATATCGTTCCTCCCTGCATTTTTCAGAAATAAAAAGTAAACAAATGTAACCAGAGGTCATTCTAAGATCTCTCTACCTGCTGCCAGGAAAAGGTCTGGGAGTTGTAGCACATCTCTCCATGAAGATTAATTTAAACATTTTAATCTCAGAAGGTGATTTAAAATTAACAGATCAGGACATGTCATGATTTATTTTATCAGTTTGAATAACATTTATGCACACATTTACTTCTGGTAAAAGATTTTCTGGTTACTGTTTGTAGGGGTTTCATTCTTTTTTGGGCTCAGTACTGTTTACTTTGGGCTACATAAGACTTGTCATAAATGGTCCAGAGCAAAGAGTGAAGAGAAAGGGGAGAATGGAAGGAACGTATGTAGTGTAAGTCAGTCATCTTAGTCATAATTACCGAGCTCAGCATTCCTCTCTGTGAAGTTACTCTGGACTGGTTTCCCCTGGGTTTCCACAAGAAGGGCCAACTATACCAGATTAATGCTAAATTTCATTAAAAAGTTGAAAGACGATTTACTATTAAAAAGGCAGCATATCAGTATTCCTCTAGCACTTTAGAAAAGACAAACATCCCAGTTTGCTCCACATAGGTTTGGTGTTTTTTTTTAATGTGTTGTTACAGTTGAATTCATTAAATAAAACTAGATATCAACATTAGACAATATGAATTTCCCACAGGAGGTTAGATGAAAAGAATGTCATCAAGGTGCGTGGGTAGGTGAGGGGATGAACTCTCCAGAAATACTAATGTAGGACACCAGAAGCACAGCTGAAGATTTTGCCTTAGATCACAAGGGCTGTCTAATCCAATTCCCATGTGAGTTAAGGAGTCTCCATCCATCAACTTTGACACATAGGACTAAGTCTACCATAAGGAGATAGAGAATGAAACTATTCACACCCAGTAGTGTTACCCATCATTTCTTTCCTCCCTACAGTGTCACAATCACACTGTAATTAGCACGATGTCTATCAATACTCCTGAAAGGACTCTGCAAGATCAAGGATTATTCTCACAGTTACCTTACAGATCCATAAATACCTTTACAGAAGTATTCTTCTTCCTTTCATCTGACAATAAGGACAGAAAGCTAAGAAACCCGCTCCGGATCAAATGACAACTCTTGCTGTCAGAACTGAAGACCTCAATAATTTTGATTTCAAATACAGGAAAGCCCTATGTACTAACGCTTCCCATTCAAAATTATTAAGACTGTGCATTAACTAGGAAAAAAAACCCAACAAACCCTTGAACAACTGCATCTAATTACCTGATCAAAAATATCTTTAAATGGGGTATTTGATTACGGTTTGTGCTTGGCACTGCTCAGTGATACAACTTGGATATAAGACAAGAGTTTTCACACAGTTCTGTGTCAGAACAAGCCATTTGTATAATTTGAATTGACTAAGAACAGATTTTTAGTCTTATACTGGAAAGACTGGCACTGTGTGAGATAAATAAGATATGCTGCTCAAATAAAGAATAAAAACTAGCAACTATTGAGGGCTTATAATTCGAGTTTGCTAGACATAAAACTGATTGAGAGCATCACTGTCTTTCTTTTCTGCATCACAGAAGCTGACTGGTGTAAGATGTCTGTTGTTTCTTGTCTACTGATCCAGGGATATTGTATTTCCAAACAGCTAGGGAATAGAGGCCAGCAAATACACTTGCCTTCATCTGGAATTGAATGTGCTGGAATATGTTACACACATACGGCTGTTGCAGCGGTTGTGCCGGCTCTCTGGGTGCAAGGAAGAAGACGTAAGAAAGGACTACCTTCATGCAAACATGTAGAAGAAACAGGCTCACAAAGTAACAAAATATTTGCTAAGTTTAGATACAAACTTACTGTAGTACACAAAAAGACACGTTTTGCTACCTATGTTTCAGTCCGTGTCCTTATCATCTGGCTAGTAAACTCCACTGCCCTGTGTGGGACTTGGCAAGATCAGAGTTGTCGCACTTGTTTTCCCCTAAGGGAATCATGGTCTGACATGAACCTGATTACAATTAGATCTAAACCTCCCTGCAGCTGTTTTAGAAATTCAAACCTCAGCATAGGTACTCAAATCTTACACATAATATTTTTCTAAAGACTGTAATTCCTGACTACATAGAGGCGGATAACCTCGATTTATAGATGCATACGTTTTAAAGAACATAATTAATTTGATTCTTCATTAGAGTTACCAATAACTAAACAAATAGTGGGTAGTTATGCATTTGGAGTAAAGAGGCAGTCTGAGCTGTGAAGTGCATTGTGACACCCAGTCACTCCTGTGAACTGCATATCCCTAGTTTAGCATGGCAGGAAGTGGGGACTACCACTACTCACCCTACAAGTCATTATGAGAAAATGACTTTTTCCAATCAAGCTATTATGGTTACATGGTTTTACCTTCTCTGTTTACTGACAGTATGAATTATTATAATACTGACATAAATAGAATATATCCTATTTTGTCTTATTTTAACAATTGGGCAGCTTTCAGATTTGGCCATAAGGCTGTTAAAATTAACTACAATATGACAATAGATGTCATGGAATATCATGAAAAGATCAAAAGCAAAACACGGTAATATCAGGGAACAAGGATGAATTATTGTGGTAAATTTGTACTCATATACAACCTGAGAGTGATACCTGACTGGTTACATTCTTGACAGGCTTATGCATAACAAATCTTCAGTCCATGGTGATGTACACTGGTTATTTCTAATTCATTTCAAATTCTGAACTAGATCCATGCAATTATTTGAAAACTGTGTCTGCACTAAGCTGGTTGTTTCAGCACCTACTTCTTATATAGAAAAAGGGGTGAAAACAAGAAACAACAAAGAAGTGACAATTTTATGGGATGGCAAGCTTACCCAGCCATCACAGGGATACCTGAAAGGCCAGGCACTTCGCTTTCTTTGGTACAGATTAATTAGCCAGTTGTGACTCCTAGATCTCTATTTTTAAATAATGACTTGCATAAATGTCTGAAGACAAGAATTTAGCACCGCTACATTACACACCACCATGCCTGCAAGATATTACTACCAGTGGAAATTCAAGTTTGCAGAAAACTAGTGTAACATTTTTTCCATGAAGAGTAAGAAAATTAACCCTGACCCCAACATAAATTGACTTGGGCTCACCTCACTCTCTGATATAACACTACAACAAATCACATCCTCATACATCTTATACAGCCATGGAATTGGCAATATTAAAAAAACTGGCAAGGTGCCTGCGTTTCAGCTAGGATTTATACTTGTGAAAAGGGAACAGTTTGGAAAATGTTGCAGTTAGCAATGGTGAGTGCATTTGTCCCAAGGCTCATGAAACCCCCGTTACACACATTCAGACATGGATTCTCAGACCTTCAGTGAAGGCAAGCAGAACTATTCTGCCTTTTTTCAGGTTGTTTTTGTATACTTGTACTTATTGCCATTGGGCTCACAGCTCTCATTCTGAGCAGATGCACTGAAGTAGGTTTAACTACCTGCAGGTTTCAGATAAGAGTTGTTCCTTTTTCCAGCTCAGGTTTGAATTCCCTCAATTCATGTAAAATTTCTCTCTGCAGTCATGGTAAAGACAAAGTGCAAGATGAAAGGAATAGCTGCCTGCAGAGTGATCCTGGATAACTGCATACCACAGGATATTGTCACCAGCTGGAATAGCATTCAGGATTCAGGTGTCATTGATGAAAGTGATTTTTTAAATGATAGTCAATAGAATTGCCATAACATTACAGTGGGGAGTGGGAGAAGACATGAAACACTCCAGAGCTGATCTATGCTGCAATATTAAGTGAATTACTAACATTTTGCAGTAAGCTTGTCTCAAGGAATACCAAAATAACTCATCTTTGAAATAGTTACTTTATAGGCGCAAAAGATCAATGGATAATTACAGCGCATTTTGGTAATTACAGTAGATATGATTTATGGTATATTTTAATTACTACAGAGAGCCTAGCATGAAGGATGAGCACTTAAAAGTCAAGATAAATATGCGAATATATTGCCTATAAATATAAATCCATTAAGTAACATATTCTTTACTGATACTTGCAAGAAACTGCAAGACTACATAAGAATAGACCTTTTCCATTTGTTATGTAAATAGCTGATGAGTTACAGGACCATCTCTCTGTTTGCCAGATTCAGTAAGACTAGTCGTGTTTCTCATCATGAGCATATACCTTTAAGAATTCCAGAGGAAAGAAAACACACTGTGCTTCAGTTTAAATAGGTGACATCAAATACTATTTTCTTAGCATTATTTTAGCCTTATGCTAATGAATTCCAACACTACTGTAGGTGAGTCTCTCCTCAATTATGCAAACTTTGGTCTTTAGTATAGAGGTCATTATGTGACACACAACAATTGTATAGTAATGAGGTTATTCACATTCTGTTACAGTGCATAAGAATTGAAAACCAAAAGTGAAATTAACTTTCTTCCTGGTCTTTTTTTGTCTTCATATATTCAGGCTAATAACACAATGGTATGGTATGACTGGGATACGAATATTTTAGAACACAGCATCATACATATCAGAAAGCAAACATCACAGTGAGGAGTACTGCATTAACACCCCACTTCTGAGTTCGAGGAGATGAATTTCATATATAATACAGTGTGATGTTTACCAATTCATTACAATGACCTGGCTTGCTACTTTCTCAGAAAACTGCAGAAATGAAAATGTCACACATATTTGCATTCAGGAGGTTACTGTGTATCACTGCACACTTCTCGTGCTGTCTAAACAAAAGTCTGTTTTCTGCTGTCAGTCTAATGGCTCAGCTGCTAACCCAATCTGAACTGCCTTTGGGAGGCATCAGGGGACTCAAGATACTGCTAGCTTGAGGCATAAAGAAGGTCAGGCTCTGTTCCCCTAAGAAAAGCTACTGTCAGGACAGCCTGTATCCCACAGAATCTGCTTCTGGAAGTTACTGGAATAAGATGGAAGTGTGACTACAAGCAAGGAGAGGTAGCAGAGAATGTCTGGCTTAGAGAGCTGGTACTAGATTTTGCAGAGGAAAGGGGTTTGAATTGGTAAGAGCAGGACTGCAGATTAGGGAGCTTCCTTAGCTCAAGATGATGTAGAGTACATCTTCAAGGAGAAAAAAAAAACTGTTTTAACTATTTTGTTGGATTTTTTTATACCTAAAAGAATGATTTTACAAAATGTGAATATAACATATGGTCCTGGTGTCTTTAAAATACATCTTACTCTGTAGCTATCAAAGCAATTGGATTAAGACAAAAATAGGTTTAGTATTTTTCCCCCAAAAGGTGTTCATTAAAAATCTGCTGAAATCTACAAAACCAAGTGAAGATCATAACTGTACTTCAGAGTGGCACTCTAGTCTGGACAAGAAAAACTGCCCAGCACCCTAATTTTATGCAATATCAACAGTGGTGTAGAACATATATTTCCAAAAAAGAAACAGAAGACCTATGGTCCCCTGTGAGGGATATGAGGTCTTTGTGGGAATGATGAGAATGTGCTGGAAGAAAAAGACAGGGCCAGAATTTGCTTTCCATTTTATGGGAATTTTTTGACAGTTGAAAATTCAATTTCATTGCAAAATAATAAAGGTAATTTCCAAAGCAGAATGCTATAAGCTGTGTCATCAGCCATTTTTTATGCTTACATTTCCATTTAAAAATGAGTTTTGAATTTTCATTTACCATTTTTCAGTAAACCAACTGTAATATCTGTTATGCACTATTTTGAGTCTACTGTACACATTACCTATAAGTATCATGCTATATTCAGAAAATGGATACAGATGATTAATACTCACTATTCCTCTGCTTTTCTGAATGAAGAATACACCTGTGTAGCACAAAGTGTTCAAAGCAAAATATAGATATTCAGCTAGAGGAATGAAGTGTAAACAAGTTCCATGTCTCCTGTCTGCATAGTAATAAAATAGTGTAAGAAATGTCTAACCAAGAAGCCTGACCTTCTGAAGTAATGAACACCCAACAGCTACCAGTGACGTTACTGTACGTCAGAATTCATTTAAACCAAAGCGAGTTATTAAGGGGAAGATTTTCACAAGGAAAACATGCAGTTATGGGAACATAAATGCCAGGTGTACCTTGGGAAATCTTATCAGTGTCAAACTCTGAAGTGAATATCCAACTTTTGGTACCTAAGTGTGAAAATCTTAGTTATATTTTCACTGTGCTTTGTGCACAATGGCTGACAAATAAAAAGTAATTGTTAATTTGTGGTGACATTTAGTAACTCTTCTGGGCAATGCTCAAGCCAGAACTAATCCAGCATTTATTCTCTCCCCATTTCTCCCTTTTTTCCTCTTGCAGAAGATCTGCTGCCCTGCCAGTATGTGCAAAAACCATCATGACATAATCCTGCTACACAAAGTGTTCTTTAAAAATTAGTTATCCCAAAACAATCTCTTTTGGGACTTTCTGGAAGTCATGAAGGGAAGAATCCCATCATGTCTTAATGCACCTTCCAGAATTTCTCAGTTTTTGGGAGATAATAGATGTTCTCTGACTCCTTTGTCTGAAACTCCAGTGTATTTATGTTGATATCCAGGGTCTGAGGTTGAAGAATTATTACAAAAGCAGCAAAGTAGCAACAAGCTCTAAATGCAATTTTCTGTGAGACAGAAGTACATTTTGTTCCACGTTTACATTCAATGATCTTTTCATGCTGAATGCAATACCATTATCACATCTATTTGAATTCTTTTTGTGCTACGGCACAAAAGAAATAACTCTTAATCACATGGCCAAGTTGGACTTGCAAGTCATTAGGAGACCAAAGTTTCCTTCAGAGTTAAAAAGGCTGCATCATGAGAGATGTGGATGTGAAGGAGAGCTATTGTTTAGCTGCAGGACAAATCCTGTACTCTGCACACTGCAGACTGGCATATTGCCCAGCACTGGGCTGCTCTGCTAGCATGATCAGTTCAATGCAGTTTCAACCTGGAAGAATTATTCTGGATCCAGAAAAAGAAACTTGTTAAGTCTATGCCAGTTGTTTAGCATCTTTGGAGTGGTGTTGAATGTGCTGCTAGTGAGTACTTGAGGTCTGGAGCAACAGTGTATGAATGAGGATACAAAATTAGTTGTCTCACTTAACTGTATTCTTTACCTTTACTTGGCCCAGGCAGGTTAGAGGAGGATTCTACTTGCTGTATTTTGAAGAAAGAATCAGCTTCTATTAATAAATAATATCTGAGATTGGTCTAGCCTGTTTATTCAACAGTCGGTACAGCTAAAATTTAGAAAGGAGAGAATGTGTTGTAATTGCATCCAACAGTCAGCGAAGGTCTTCTAGGTGTGCCTAGAAGAGTGCCTGTGAGGCACTCTTCCAGGGTGGAAAGCAGCAGAGACTAGCTAGTGATTCTCATTGCTCTTATCCCTAACGATTTTTGTCCAGGAGTCTCAGAAGGGACAGGGTCTCTGTTCTGCACCAGGAAGCAAACATAGCTTCACTAGGGTGAAATCCTGGTATAAACATGCTCTGCTGTAAAAAATAAGTTGGATCAATGTGGCTTTCTGTACTGTCAAATAACAGCAGCACTGCACTGCACCATTTTCTATGGGTGATCCAGCACAGGCTGGATGCTATTTTGGTACTACTAGAGGTAGAATTAAAAGTAATGGGCCGCAATGATATCCTGGAGGGAGGGGGCACAGTGGGAACAGGGAGGTCCCCTAATGAGTGGCTTCAGAGCTTCTGGACCTAAATGCTCCTTTCCCTGAATCCATGGGACTGGAAGGCGTAAAACTTACCTACTCAGAAATTAAGGTACCTTCCTCACCAGAGAACCGAGCTATACACTATCTATTCAGTGGCTTCTCAGCTGCCCTCCTTCAAAGATGCTTCTCATTCCCTTCCTGTAACTAGTGCTAAGGTTTCAGCCTTATATTTCCTTAATATCTTTAATTACAGGGTTTGGGTGAATGGGCTTAGTAGCTCCTGAGCCTAAAAAATTCTTAGTTCAAACTAAGTGCTTGTTTGGAGGAAGCACTCTCTGTGTTCAAGATTACTCTTGTGGGGCAGTTTCATTATATAGTTGTAAGAGTGCAGTCTTGAAACTTCTGAGGTGAACTCTTCCCCTTGAATTCTGAACTGCACCCCAATAGTGGCATTAACATGCAAAAATTTTCCTGCAACATGCAATTTTTATCACAACTATTAATGAAATGCAACATCATAAACAATAAAGTTTAATTGGTAACTAAAGTGTCTATGGCAATTAAATAAGAAGGAAGTGTTCTGGAACACAGCAGGATGGATTATACTTTGAATCATTTACATTGCAAATGGATTTTAAAGATGTTATTGATGGAAATTTGAGTGAAATTCACGTTTTTAGAAAATAAGACATTGACTCTACAGTGCTTGAGAATGCCCAACTTGGCTTAACACGAATGTGGTAACTGAAACTGCAGATGGAACTAATGGGAGCAGCTAATAATATGAAGTGCACTGAAGACAAATGTAAAAATACCTTAAGAGAATCTAGTGCAATGACATGACCCATTAGTGTCAGACCACAGTTAAAATTGAAGAATACATGTTCAGTTATACAGTAAAGAAAAAATGTGAATGTATTTCCTGCCTGCGTATTTGGAACTGAACACAGCTCTTTCCTATATAGTCATAACTCTACCTGAAACACTGTCATGATTTAGGAGTTAGAGCAAAGGTCCTACTCCAAGACAATTTGTGAATAACTTAAGTGGACAAGTGGTGGAACACTGTCACCTTGTTTCAACTCAGTTCATTCCACCTCAATTATTCAAGCTACAACAGCAAAGCTGGATAATCGGCAGGAGAAGGCTGGGTAAGAACAAAAATAAAGAGGAAAAGAGCCAGGCAGCTGTGACTTGAGGCCAAGATTTCTCCTCTGCGACAGGAAGGTAAAGAAAGCATTAGTGTTAGCTCTTTTTCAGAGAAGTCAGTGAAAGCTAAATAAGGGAAGAATTACCACCGGCTGTTTCACTGAGAAAGTGAGTTTTGGCTTTACACAGGCAGACCTGGAAGGACGTAAATCCCCTGGGTTCGCAAGAGGACAGGTCACCTCCAAGTCCGGCTTGTCCCCATGCACCTTGCTACCCAGTCTGCATTAAGACTCACTGTGATCCCCCAGGGAATGGGTGCTCAAACATGCTGAAATGTCCCGGGTCTTGGTACAGTGACTGTGACTGTGCAAACTGCACCTGAGAGCCTCACAGAGGCTCTTCAGCTTTTGAGCTACCCATGAGGATACATTTAGGAAGAAGCACTTCAGGTGTTCATCTGCAGCGCAGAGGAATTTAACCTGTTCCCACTGACAGTAGCTATGATATGGGCAGTTGAAGTTTTATTTTTATGATAGTAAAAACGGAAAAATATTAGCTTTTGATTCTTTCATTTCACAGGTTTCCATGAACATGAAGTGTTTTGCTTTTCAGACCAAGCTAATCTTTAAAACACTGTCTGTCATCTCTAACTGTCCTCGTATTCAGGGCTTCTGTTGTTTTCTGTTTTCTCATGTCTCCTCCACTAACCCATGCTTACCATATCAACCTTAGTGAAATTTATGGGAAAAAAAATTCAGATTTTGGTGC